CTATATCATCACATAATAGCCAGGGTAAGCACTATATCATCACATTAATAGTCAGGGTAAGCACTATATCATCACATAACAGCCAGGGTAAGCCACTATATCATCACATAATAGCCAGGGTAAGCACTATATCATCACATAACAGCCAGGGTAAGCACTATATCATCACATAATAGCCAGGGTAAGCACTATATCATCACATAACAGCCAGGGTAAGCACTATATCATCACATAACAGCCAGGGTAAGCACTATATCATCACATAATAGCCAGGGTAAGCACTATATCATCACATAATAGCCAGGGTAAGCACTATATCATCACATAACAGCCAGGGTAAGCACTATATCATCACATAATAGCCAGTGTAAGCACTATATCATCACATAACAGCCAGGTAAGCACTATATCATCACATAATAGCCAGGGTAAGCACTATATCATCACATAATAGCCAGGGTAGCACTATATCATCACATAATAGCCAGGGTAAGCACTATATCATCACATAACAGCCAGGTAAGCACTATATCATCACATAATAGCCAGGGTAAGCACTATATCATCACATAACAGCCAGGGTAAGCCTATATCATCACATAACAGCCAGGGTAAGCACTATAATCATCACATAATAGCCAGGGTAAGCACTATATCATCACATAATAGCCAGGGTAAGCACTATATCATCACATAACAGCCAGGGTAAGCACTATATCATCACATAATAGCCAGGGTAAGCACTATATCATCACATAACAGCCAGGGTAAGCACTATATCATCACATAATAGCCAGGGTAAGCACTATATCATCACATAATAGCCAGGGTAAGCACTATATCATCACATAATAGCCAGGGTAAGCACTATATCATCACATTAATAGCCAGGGTAAGCACTATATCACATTAATAGCCAGGGTAAGCACTATATCATCTCATAACAGCCAGGGTAAGCACTATATCATCACATAACAGCCAGGGTAAGCACTATATCATCACATAATAGCCAGGGTAAGCACTATATCATCACATAATAGCCAGGGTAAGCACTATATCATCACTAACAGCCAGGTAAGCACTATATCATCACAATATAGCCAGGGTAAGCACTATAATCATCACATAATAGCCAGGTGTAAGCACTATATCATCACAATAATAGCCAGGGTAAGCACTATATCATCACATTAATAGCCAGGGTAAGCACTATATCATCACATAATAGCCAGGGTAAGCACTATATCATCACATTAATAGCCAGGGTAAGCACTATATCATCACATAATAGCCAGGGTAAGCACTATATCATCACATAATAGCCAGGGTAAGCACTATATCATCACATAATAGCCAGGGTAAGCACTATATCATCACATTAATAGCCAGGGTAAGCACTATATCATCACATAATAGCCAGGGTAAGCACTATATCACCACATAATAGCCAGGGTAAGCACTATATCACCACATAATAGCCAGGGTAAGCACTATATCATCACATAATAGCCAGGGTAAGCACTATATCATCACATAATAGCCAGGGTAAGCACTATATCACCACATAATAGCCAGGGTAAGCACTATATCACATTAATAGCCAGGGTAAGCACTATATCATCACATAATAGCCAGGGTAAGCACTATATCACCACATAATAGCCAGGGTAAGCACTATATCATCACATTAATAGCCAGGGTAAGCACTATATCATCACATTAATAGCCAGGGTAAGCACTATATCATCACATAATAGCCAGGGTAAGCACTATATCACACATAATAGCCAGGTAAGCACTATATCATCACATAACAGCCAGGGTAAGCACTATATCACCACATAATAGCCAGGGTAAGCACTATATCATCACATAATAGCCAGGGTAAGCACTATATCATCACATAACAGCCAGGGTAAGCACTATATCATCACATAACAGCCAGGGTAAAGCACTATATCATCACATAATTAGCCAGGGTAAGCACTATATCATCACATAATAGCCAGGGTAAGCACATATATCATCACATAATAGCCAGGGTAAGCACTATATCATCACATAATAGCCAGGTAAGCACTATATCATCACATAATAGCCAGGGTAAACACTATATCATCACATAACAGCCAGGGTAAGCACTATATCATCACATAATAGCCAGGGTAAGCACTATATCACCACATAACAGCCAGGGTAAGCACTATATCATCACATAACAGCCAGGGTAAGCACTATATCACATAACAGCCAGGGTAAGCACTATATCACCACATAACAGCCAGGGTAAGCACTATATCATCACATTAACAGCCAGGGTAAGCACTATATCATCACATAACAGCCAGGTAAGCACTATATCATCACATAACAGCCAGGGTAAGCACATAATATCATCACATTAATAGCCAGGGTAAGCACTATATCATCACATAACAGCCAGGGTTAAGCACTATATCATCACATAATAGCCAGGGTAAGCACTATATCATCACATAACAGCCAGGGTAAGCACTATATCATCACATAACAGCCAGGGTAAGCACTATATCATCACATAACACCAGGGTAAGCACTATCATCACATAACAGCCAGGGTAACACTATATCATCACATAACAGCCAGGGTAAGCACTATAATCATCACATAACAGCCAGGGTAAAGCACTATATCATCACATAACAGCCAGGGTAAGCACTATATCATCACATAACAGCCAGGGTAAGCACTATATCATCACATAACAGCCAGGGTAAGCACTATATCATCACATAACAGCCAGGGTAAGCACTATATCATCACATAACAGCCAGGGTAAGCACTATATCATCACATAACAGCCAGGGTAAGCACTATATCATCACATAACAGCCAGGTTAAGCACTATATCATCACATAACAGCCAGGGTAAGCACTATATCATCACATAACAGCCAGGGTAAGCACTATATTCAATCACATAACAGCCAGGTAAGCACTATATCATCACATACAGCCAGGGTAAGCACTATATCATCACATAATAGCCAGGGTAAGCACTATATCATCACATAATAGCCAGGGTAAGCACTATATCATCACATAACAGCCAGGGTAAGCACTATATCATCACATAACAGCCAGGGTAAGCACTATATCATCACATAACAGCCAGGGTAAGCACTATATCATCACATAATAGCCAGGGTAAGCACTTATATCATCACATAATAGCCAGGGTAACACTATATCATCACATAAAAGCCAGGGTAAGCACTATATCATCACATAATAGCCAGGGTAAGCACATATATCATCACATAATAGCCAGGGTAAGCACTATATCATCACATAATAGCCATGGTAAGCACTATATCATCACATAACAGCCATGGGTAATGCACTATATCCACACTACAGCCAGGGTAAGCAACTATATCATCACATAATAGCCAGGGTAAGCACTATATCATCACATAATAGCCAGGGTAAGCACTATATCATCACATAATAGCCAGGGTAAGCACTATATCATCACATAATAGCCAGGGTAAGCACTATATCATCACATAACAGCCAGGGTAAGCACTATATCATCACATTAAACATGCAGAAGATTCCTGGTTAGATAAATAGTAATAAATTACATCTTTTTTGTATACTTTTTTAGGTTTTAGGATTATGTTTTGAGCTTTAGGAGACGAGTGGCTTTTAATGTATGTGTTCTTGAGTGTCAGCAAGGTAACACTTACAAAGGAATTCCCACCTCCAGGACTTGAGTTCTGTTAGTCAAACTGAAGTCCTAGAGGTGAGAAAGGCAGTGCTTGCACTCTTAAGGAGGGGTGGGGATGTTATAGTAGAAGGGTGAACTGACTCTCATGTCAATACACTTCTGGCAAGAAAACAATTGAATGAATAATGATGTATATTTACTTTGTTTTTTCCTCCATGGGGAAGTGGAAAAGAATTCTTCCTCCTTAAGCCATACGTGTCGTAAGAGGTGACTAAAATGTTGAGGGCAAAGGGGCTAGTAACACTTTCTCCTGCATGAATTACTAAATTTTAAAAGAAAAACAAAAGTTTTTCTTTTTAGGTCACCCTGACTCGGTGGGATACGACTGGTTCTTCTTCTTTCTTCTTTCAACAAACCAGCCATATCCCACCGAGGCAGGGTGGCCCAAAAAGAAAAACGAAAGTTTCTCTTTTTAAATTTAGTAATTTATACAGAAGGGGTTATTAGCCCCTTGCTCCTGGCATTTCAGTTGCCTCTTACAACACGCATGGCTTATGGAAGAATTCTGTTCCACTTCCCCATGGAGATAAGAGGAAATAAACAAGAACAAGAACTAGTAAGAAAATTGAAGAAAACCCAGAGGGGTGTGTGTATATATGCTTGTTGGAGTGTGAGCAGGGTAATATTTAGTGAAGGGATTCAGGAAAAAAGGTTATTTTTATATAGCTGGACCTGAGTCCTGGAAATGGGAAGTACAATGCCTGCACTCTGAAGGAGGGGTTTGGGATATTGGCAGTTTGGAGGGGTGTATTGTGTATCTTGATACGTATATACTTCTAAACTGTCGTATTCTGGACACCTCTGCAAAAACAGTGATTATGTGCGAGGTGAAAGAGTTGAATGATGATGAAAGTATTTTCCTTTTGGGGATTTTCTTTCTTTTTAGGGAGACAGCCAACTTGTTAAAAAAAAAAAAAAAAAAAAAATGTATGTGTAGTGTGACCTAAGTGTAAGTAGAAGTAGCAAGACATACCTGAAACCTTGTATGTTTATGAGACACAAACATGGACACCAGCAATCCTACCATCATGTAAAACAATTACAGGCTTTCGTTTTACACTCACTTGGCAGGACGGTAGTACTCCCTGGGCGGTTGCTGTCTACCAACCTACTACCTATAACGACTGGTTCAGTAATTAAAAAAAAAAAAAAATTACAGGTCACCCTTCCTTGTAGGGAGATAGCTATCCAAATATAAAAATTAAGGATAAGACATACACTTGCATATGCTATTTGCCCTTTTTATTTTTTTTCCCCTTGTCATCCTGCGTACAGATAATATAACCACACAAGTCCAAAATCTGTCGAGCAGCATTGTTGATGTGCTTAAATCTGTCGGGTCCTAGGTGGACTCCCCCATACCATCTGGTCACTACAACCAAAACATCCTTGGCATCAAGGATCTGAGTAATAAAAATTAAGATTTTAATAATATTTGTATAATGAAGAGGTGTTTGTTTCTAGTGTAGTTGGTGCCTTGTGTTTCATTATACCTCTCAAGGGTGAGAAGGCAGAGTTATTATAGTGCTCAAGAGTGGGAAGTTAGAATCATTATAGCTCTCAAGGGTGAGAAAGCAGAGACATTCCAGTTCTCAAGGGTAAAAAAGCAGAGTACCAATAAGAGGTGCTTATAATACAAAGACAATTAGAGCAGAGGATGTCTTTAATAAGATAATGCTTCAATCAAGGAGACTCATTAAGTCATGACCTGAATAAAGGAGAGGTTTATCAAGTCATGAATTGATTCAAGGAGCTTTATAAAGTCATGACAAGTATCAAGGAGAGCTTTATCAAGTCATGGCTCAACAAAGTTCTTCTGGAGCACAACTTTAATAAAGGCTTATTCAGCTTTAAGCATCTTTCTGTTACTCACAGCTCCCAAGGAAGAGCTTCCAGGATGCATCAGCATTGCAGCTCAAACTCCTAAAGTGTAGAGTGAGCAGCAGTGTATGTGCAGGGAATGTATGTTTAGCAGAAGTAGTGATTTCAATGAGTACAGTGGACCCCCGGATAACGATCAGCTCCCAACTCGACCAATTATGTAAGTTTATTTTTGTAAGTGCTTTTGTAGGTGTATTTTTAGGGGTCTGAAATGGACTAATCTAATTCACAATATTTCTTATGGGAACAAATTTGGTCTACAACGGCACCCAAACAGACTTCTGGATTGAAATAATATCGTTATGCGGGGGTCCACTGTATTGTGTGCTGTTACGACTGTATGAGACAGAGTCTGATACAGTCATAACAACTGCCTTTCATTGCATGACCATTTATTTGAGAGGGTTTGCCATTTTGATCCCCATGCATAAATGTCCCATGTGAGGAATGATAACCGAGAGAAAAGCATAAGATTAACAAGGTGCTGTGAGGGAGAGAGCAGTTTTTAGAAAGCATACCTGATGTGCTTTTTTTACATTTTCATTCACACTATCACTGTCCTGCCAGAGGCATGTATATAATATTAATACAATATTAAATTTCACTCCATGGCAGAGTGGAAAAGAATCCCTCCTCCATGAGCCATGCACGTTGTAAGAGGTGACTAAAATGCCATATGAAAATAATGGGTCGCCCTACCTCAATGGGAGATGGCAGGTGTGTTAAAAAAGAGATCAAAATGATTTCTTTGCACTATCAACAGGGAGAACAAAAGGTCACATGTTAACTAAGACATGTACATACCTGGAGCAGGTGCAGGAGACGACTGCCTGCATGAATCTCTCCATCGTCCTCACAGTTCTGGTTAACGTTTGAGGATCCCTCGGGGTAAAATCGGTAGGCAAACATATTATGAGTTGCATTTGCAATCTTCTTGTTCTCATACAGCTTCCTCAATACTGCCTGAATTTTGCCAAGTGAGAAATATTTATGAATTATAATAAACAAAAGATGTACATAGCACAAAGTGTTTCTTACTCTGCACAGCTGTAATATAATAGAACAAATATTTGATAATAACCTACTGTATAGCAATATTTTGATAAAGAGTCAATCCAACTATTAACTTCCTACCCTAAAAATGATCACTCAAAAACTATAACAATCTGAATCAGCCAAATTATAAAATAATAATGATTAGAAAGGAATCAAAACAGAAATACAGTACTTGACATGAGCCTCTGATTTGACGGCCGCAAGGTGTGGCTGAAAGTGACTTTTGCGATCGGAGATAATCTCACCAGAAATTATCTTAGGACAAGGTGTTAGGTCTTCTGTTTCGTCTTCCAGCTTACATGATGCTAAACTTAATGTGATCTGAAAAAGAATGTCATTTATGTGATAAGAAGAAGACATGAAGTTAACTTATAACGGGATCCTAAATCAACAATGCTTTGGTGTTCGACATTTATACAGTGGAACCTCAAATATTGAACTTTCTTCATTCCAGTGCTATTACCGAATGAATTTATTCCCATCAGGAATAATGTAAATTAGATAGTTCATTTCAGACCCTCAAAAATACACTTAAAAAAGTACTTATAAAAATACACTTACATAACTGGTTGAGTTGGGAGCAGTTAGATATTTGAGGTTCCACTGTATATATATATATAATTTCTCCTACATTAATTATGGTATTTATTATATGATGCCCTTGGATATAATCTGTAACAATATTTTGAAAAACCGCTGTAGCTGGCAACAACCCAGTCATGGCCTGGTCTAGTCATGGACCGGACTGCAGGGGCACTGACCCCCCAGAACACCTTCCAGGTATAACCACATGACCTGGTGTGCCAGCTGGAAAGACAGAGAAACATACAATAAGTCAGAGACTAACAAATAATAAAATAATAAAAAGGCACAATAACATGATTAGTATTGCTTGTGGTGGCTCGTTAGTGCCATCAAATAAACTTATAGTTAATATTTATGTCTTGCAAACACATGGCTCACTAAGGTGCATCCATCTACAAATAATATGCACATAGGAGATTAGATTTTTTTTCTATTTTTTTTTTTTTAGATGCAGCCTGCCTCACTGCCCCCCCTCTCTCTCTCTCTCTCTCTCTCTCTCTCTCTCTCTCTCTCTCTCTCTCTCTCTCTGCTTCTCTCTCTCTGCTTCTTCTCTCTCTTCTTTTTTCTCTTTTTCTCTCACTCCTCTCTCTCTGCTTCTTCACTCTCTCTCTCTGCTTCTCTCTCTTCTCTCTCTTTTTTTCTATTCTCTCTCTCTCTCTCTCTCTCTCTCTCTCTCTCTCTCTCTCTGCTTCTTCTCTCTCTCTCTGCTTCTCTCTCTCTCTCTCTGCTTCTCTCTCTCTCTGCTTTCTCTCTCTCTCTCTCTCTCTCTCTCTTCTTCTCTCTTTTTTTTTTTTTTTTTTTTACACAGGGTTTGACAAGGTTAAGGATCCCTAGCTTTACTGACAAGCTATTTACAGGTTAAGGATTCCTAACTTTATTGGCAAGCTAAGAGCTGTTACCTACATCAGCTCATTTGAAAGCATTTTTATTGTTATGAGACATACAAGTAGGGAACAGGATGAAGTTGGAGCCATCTGTGGGCCAGCATTTTCATTTGATCAACTGACTTTATCTCGTTGACATCATTATGCTGTACGAATGTGTTCCATACTCGAGCCATCCTGGGTATGTATGATCTCAGATGGAGTGATGTTCTGGAGAAGGGTACAGCCAGAGTGAAGCTGCTGCTTTCTGCCCGTCTTGTGGCATAAAAGCTTGTTTCACGCTGTCCTCGAAGTGGATCCAATATTGGCCTTGTACATAACAGTAAGGCCACCCACATCCCTCCTATGTTGAAGGCTCTGCTGAAATGACAGATCTATCCAGGATGGGTCCAGGCGAGAGATGAGACGTCTTGCTCTGTTCTCTACTCTGTCAAGCAGTCACAGATGAGAGAGGGGGCAGGCAAACCAAGAAAGTGGAGCATACTCAAGGTGTGAGCGTACTTGTGCCTCGTACAGGATCTTGCAACCCCTACTGTCAAGCAGATGCGAGATACAGCGAAGTGCTGTAAGCTTCCTGGCTGCCTTGTTTGCAAGATTTACAACATGGTTCTTCATGGTTAGTTTGGAGTCAAATTTCACCCCAAGGATATCAACTTCTTCTCCAGGTGCCAACACCCTCCCATTCATCCTTACTACTGCACCAGCATTACCATCATGGTGCCTAGAGACGATCATCATTTGCGTTTTCTCAGGTGCAAATGTTTCTTGCCATCTATTTCCCCAAGCTGATATAGCTCTCAGCTGGTAATTGATGTAGCTTAGAGCAGCTGGCATTTCTTCTCTTGGATAAGTGAATGTCAGTGTACAGTCATCTGCATATGCATGTGATTCTGGGATGAGATGAAGAAGGTCGTTGAAGTAGACATTCCATAACAATGGACCCAGCACACTACCTTGTGGAACACTTGCCCCAATAGGATGTCTTGCTGATTCCATTCCATTGAGAACTACACTTAGAGATCTACCATGAAGGTAATCACTGAGGAGACATAGCGTAGAGCCTGCAATTCCCAGTGCCTGAAGTTTTGCTAAGAGGCCCTGGTGCCACACCCGGTCGAAAGTGCCAGCAATGTCCAGTGCTACCACACAGCTGACTTTGGATTCATCCAGTGACTGGTGCCACTTAGTGGAGAGGTTTAACAACAGATCAGCAGCAGAGTAACCTTTCCTGAAGCCATATTGGCGATCACAAAGTAGTGAGTGGTATTCAAAAAACTCTGTCATTTGTCTTGAGATTATTGTCTCAAGGATCTTACCAGTGATTGACAGGAGTGACACTGGTCTGCAGTTGCTGATTTCTGCTCTGCTCTTCTTTTTGTGAACAGGGACTACATTTGCCTCTTTCCATAGAGAGGGCCATTTACACTGTACTAGGCAGTGCTGAAAGATGCGAGTTAGAGGTGCTGCTAGCTGGTCTGCACATCTTCTCACCAATCTTGGGCTCAACTTGTCTGGGCCCACAGCCTTTTCTTGGTCAAGCGATTTAAGAAGGAAATGCACCTCCTCCTGCCTTATTGTCACCACTGACAGTTTTGACACAGTTCTTGCAGCTAGCCAAGGAGGGTCCCTTGCTGGATCAGGAACTTGCATTTTGGCAGCAAAGTGTTCAGCAAAGAGGTCTGCCTTCTCTTGACTACTAGTAGAGGTGGTCCCATCCTGTCGATTTAGAGGTGGAATGAGCTCATCAGGCAGATAACCTTGTCTGTCCTTGACCAGGGACCACCAGGTTTTGGAGCCTACCCTACCTGATGCTAGTTTTCTTTTAGTGTCCACCTCCCATTTAGCAATGGCCCACTTTTGAACGTCACCCATATGCCTACAGGCTTGCGTGTGCAAGTTCCTGTTTTAGGTGGTAGGATGTCTCTTATACCTTCGCCATGCTTTGTACTTAGCAGTAGCAGCCTCTCTACAACGAAAGCCAAACCAAGGCTGATCTGTAGGCTTTGTCACATATTGCCGGTGAGGAATGTGTTCTTGTTGTAGATTAAGAATGTGTCCAGTGAAGGCTTTCACTTGGTTGTCAACATCCCCTTGGAGAAGAGCATTCCAATCGGTGGTGGCGAGCTCAGAGCGAAGGGCTGGCCAATTACCTCTTTCCCATAGCCAGGTTGTGCGTGTGGACTCCTCACCCCGTTCTGTTGACATCTTAAGTGTCGTAAAAACAGCCTTGTGGTCAGACGATCCAACGTAGCCGAGGGGTTGACAAGTGACTATGCCTTCTGCCAGATCACTCACTACTGGGTCAAGGGAGGAGCCAGAGATATGAGTAGGGAAATCAACAAAGTTTCTCATGTCAAACACTGCAAGAAGGTCATCAAAGTCCCTCTGTTTAAGGTGCTGGTTGAGGTCACCAACAATTATAATATGTTGACTGTTGTGTTGTAGCAGAAGGGAGTCAATATTTTCTATTAGGAAGTTGATGGGGTCTGCATGTTGCCACTGAGGTCTGTACATTGCACATGCTAGTACAGAGGTACTGGTGTTTATACAGAGCTTGAAGAACATCATTTCAAGATGTGTAGGGGTGGCAACATCAATGTGCTGGGCATGAACACTTTTAGAGAAGCACACAGCAACACCTCCTCCTTGCCCTTGCCTGTCTCTTCTCATCCATGAGGTGTAGCCAGCAATTCTTGCAAAATTTTCTGGAGTCCTGTCATCCAAAAATGTTTCAACAACAGCTATCATGTCGGGACGTCGAGTGTTCACAAAACTATGTGTGAGCTCTCCAACATTAGTAATGAAACCTCTAATGTTGGCCGACAGGATGCTGATAGACTGGCTCCTCATGATGAAGTGGTCAGCTTGAGGTGGTGGGTGTGTAGGGAATGTAAGGTGCCTGCCCTTGAGAGAGGTAGGGTACTGAGGCAGCTGCAGGGATGTAGGTCTGTGGTCTTGTATAAGGCACAATACCACCTGCTGGGCTGGGATAGGAGTAGCTAAGTGGGTGACGTGTGAGTTTGTTCACCAATTCAGAGATCCTGCTGGTTTGTTCTGAGAACAGGTCTCTAAACAGGTGGCCCTGTCTGTCAAGTTCCTTTTTCTTCCGACACTGGTCCTCTCTCTCTCTCTCTCTCTCTCTCCCTCCCTCTGCTTCTCTCTCTCTCTCTCTGCTTCCCTCTCTCTCTCTCTCTCTCTCTCTCTCTCTCTCTCTCTCTCTCTCTCTCTCTCTCCTCTGCTTCTCTCTCTTTTCTGCTGCTCTCTCTCTGCTTCTCTCTCTCTCTCTGCTTCTTCTCTCTCTCTCCCCTCTCTCTCTCTCTCTACTCTCTCTTTTCTCTCTCTCTCTCTGCTTCTCTCTCTCTCTCTTTTCTCTCTCTCTGGCTTCTCTCTTCTCTCTCTCTCTGCTTCTCTCTCTCTCTCTCTCTGCTTCTCTCTCTCTCTCTCTCTTCTCTCTGCTTCTCTCTCTCTCTCTCTCTCTCTGCTTCTCTCTCTCTCTCTCTCTCTCTCTCTCTCTCTCTCTCTCTGCTTCTCTTCTCTTTTTTTTTTTTTTTTTTTTTTTTACACAGGGTTTGACAAGGTTAAGGACCCCTAGCTTTATTGACAAGCTATTTACAGGTTAAGGATTCCTAACTTTATTGGCAAGCTAAGAGCTGTTACCTACATCAGTTCACTTGAAAGCATTTTTATTGTTATGAGACATACAAGTAGGGAGCAGGATGAAGTTGGAGCCATCTGTGGGCCAGCAATTTCATTTGATCAACTGACTTTATCTCGTTGCCATCATTATGCTCTCTCTGCTTCTCTCTCTCTTTCTGCTTCTCTCTCTCTCTCTCTCTCTCTCTCTGCTTCTCTCTCTCTCTCTCTCTCTCTCTCTCTCTCTCTCTCTCTCTCTCTCTCTCTCTCTCTCTGCTTCTCTCTCTCTCTCTCTGCTTCTCTCTCTCTCTCTGCTTCTCTCTCTCTCTCTCTCTCTCTCTCTCTCTGCTTCTCTCTCTCTCTCTGCTTCTCTCTCTCTCTCTCTCTCTCTCTCTCTCTCTGCTTCTCTCTCTCTCTCTCTTTCTCTCTCTCTCACACACACACACACACACACACACACACAACACAGGCCAGGAGCTTGGACTCGACCCCTGCAACCTCAACTAGGTGAGTACACCAGTCTGGAACCCACACTTGGTCAAGCACGTCAAGAAGTTAGAGAAAGTACGTACAAAGGTTTGCAACAAGGCTAGTCCCAGAGCTAAGGGGAATGTCGTACGAGGAAAGGTTGAGGGAAATCGGACTGACGACACTGGAGGACAGAAGGGTCAGGGGAGACATGATAATGACATACAAGATACTGCAGGAATAGACAAGGTGGACAGAGATAGGATGTTCCAGAGAGAGGACACAGAAACAAGGGGTCACAACTAGAAGCTGAAGACTCAGATGAGTCACAGGGACGTTAGGAAGTATTTCTTCAGTCATAGAGTCGTCAGGAAGTGGAATAGCCTAGAAAGTGAAGTAGTGGAGGCAGGAACCATACATAGTTTTAAGAAGAGGTATGACAAAGCTCAGGAAGCAGAGAGGGAGAGGACCTAGTAGCGATCAGTGAAGAGGCGGGGCCAGGAGCTGAGTCTCGACCCCTGCAACCACAATTAGGTGAGTACAATTAGGTGATTACAGTGGTGCTCAGGACTCTATACCAGAGCTGCCATGTATATTCCTAGTAACACCCATCTGTGACAACAATCACAAAAAAAAAAAATCAAGAAACGTTTCTCAACTTACATAATGAGAGCAGTGTACTGTAAGAAAATGTTATCTAATACTCCCTATGATAATGACTTGCATAATGACAATTTTTGGTGGAATGTATCTCTGGTTAACCAATCACTTCCTTCATCAATGTACTGGACAAGAGAAAATTTGCATATACGTACAAATTATTTAAATGTTGTTAAGCCATAGCTCTCTATCCGTTGCTGTATTTACCCGATTATTGACGTTCATATAAAAAGAGCAAGTACATTTTAATAAAGTCATATGATTACTTTTCAGTTTTGGGGTCATGTACCAAGCAAAAACATAATGAGCACAAATAATTATTAATGACCTATAAGGGTCTTACATGCACAAAAAATAAAATGAATAGTCAAAGTTGTATGTGAAATGGCTTACAGCAAAAAAATTGTACAGTACCTTACAATCACATGGATTATAAAGAAGGTGAATTCTGGGATTCAGTAGGACAAGCATAAAATAAATTCATATTAGTTAATGCTGTTAATGCATGAAAATAGTCAGGTTTACCTGGTGGTGGTCCTGCTGTTCCCTGGCTTGGTCGTGCTCCACCATAAACTGACGTATCCTCTCAACCCACAGGTAGATGACGCTCTCCCCAAGATTTTCTCTGTTAAACAATGTTAATGATTTAACATGCATTTATTTGCGTGTATTTCCACACGCTGAATTTTTATCAAATTTTCAAAATTAAATATTAACAACCAATGTATTTTTGTTGTAATTACCATAACAGTAAAATAATGCCCTACCTCCATATGTTGTGTATAATATTCCTTAATAATTACATTTGTCTGACTAAAGTACATATTGGAATCTTTGTTTCCTAGCAAACAAATTTGAAAGATACTTTATTTCATAAGTATCTTTCTCCTCTAGCAAATTTAAAATAATCTTTACCTATACAAAAATAAAAATAGCTCCTCAGAAATTAGCTAATTAAAATTCTTACAGATAAATTTCCTCCAAGTATCCACAGAGTTCTTGGCGCTGGAGTCCCTTCAGCCATGGTGCACTTAACATGTAAATTGGAGGAGAGTCACTCGGATAGTCTGGAGGCATTGTTACCTAAAATAAAAACAAAAGCAATGGTACAATGCCACCCATTGCTGCTGGTGTGTACACATAGCAGTCTCTTTCATCCACCTTAATGGTGTCATCTCCCGTTGTTTTTCAGAATAACGCTCTGGTGCAACCGTATTCAGGGATGATAGTACCACTGGGTGCAATTCCCTCTTCTTCATGTGATGGAAGGAATGGGGTCCTAGCCTGAGTCATCTCATTTCCATGTATTAAATACAGTGAAATTTCGATAGTCTATAATTAGTCTGTCCAAATGCATTGCATACTAGTGTGCCTAACACTATGTTATTACATGCAAACTACATTATCTGTGTACTGCATAAAAAATTTGAATTTTAATTTAGACTTTGTAAGGTGATTTTTATGTACAGGACAATTTGATTTAAAAAAGAAATTCTTCTACACACGTGAGGGAATTTCCAGACAAGCTATCAATGAAAGAAATTTAAGACAGAGAAATCTCTTGATTGGTGGTAGTATATAAGAAGGGAAGGCAAATGGTACTGCTTTCTGGAACTTTGATCTCAATGACCCATTTCATCGTATCCCAAAATCCCATGCCTACACAGAGCACTACACTATAGCATTTATTAAATAGGAGTGGAAATATCTACTGCCCTGAGATTATTAGTGGGGAGTGGAGTCCAAATGCAAACATCATTTTTTTTACAAATTAGCCATCTCCTATGAAGATTGGATCATGACCCCCAAAAATCTGAACACATTTACCATCACTCAATCAATAGCTGTCTTGCTAGATCATACAAACATCACAATGCAAATAACCTTCCAAACTGTAACATTCCCACCCCTCCGTCAGTGTGCAGGCACTGCACTTCCCACCTCCAGGACTCAAGTCTGGCTAAATGGTTTCCCTGAATCCATTTATAGATGTGCATACTTTAAACATGGTCCAGTCGTTAATGCACTGGCCCTCAAGTTTCAAGACTCACATGCCATGAGTTCAAACCCCCACCCGTTCCCTGATATGTATTTATGGTGTCCCATACCCGGGTTGGTAGTGCATTCAGCTCACACACCAAGGTCCATGGTTCAATCCCTGGTATGGGTAGAAACATTGGGGCATGTTTCCTCAAGACACCTGCTATCCCTGTTCACCAAGCAGTAAATATGTACCTGGGTGTTAGTCGACTGGTGTGTGTCACATCCTAGGGAGAAGATTAACCTAAGTATACAAAGAGCCACTGTATAACCAGTGGCTTTCAATATACATAGTATGTCATTGATGTCAGCTATGGTCTGTGTAAGCTGTATCATATATTTGTGGAAGAACCAGTTAAGTTAATCGAGAGAAACGTTTGATTTATCCTCATTTTCACAGTGAGACTGTAGCTCATGTTGCAAAGCTCATCTTGTAGACATTGTCTTACCTGCAGGAGAGATGACACTTCTCCCTCTGTAATCTCTACACTGTAGGTTTTATGCTCAAGGCTTTCTGTGTGGAAGTCTGTGCCATAAATAGATGAAAGAGCCTCGATTTCATCCCTCTGAAAGGAAATATGTTGTGTTGCTTTAAAAAATTTAATAATAATACAGTGGACCCTCGAGTTTCGACAGCCTCGACTTTCGTGAAATTCGACCTTCGGCGAGTTTTTTTGGAAAAAATTGGCCTCGAGTTTCGTGAGAAAACTTGTGTTTTGGCGACCGTCCGGTACCCATCTGCCCGTCACCGCGCACACAAAGCCAGTCTCCCACACCATTCACGCTCAGTGTGCCATTGTTTACCAACACGTGACCATCACCCGTGGGTTCAAACGTAATAATCCTTTGTTTTTGTGATTACAACTGCTAAATAAGTCACCATGAGCCCAAGGAAAGCTAGTGCAAGCCCTTTGGTAAAGAAAGTGAGAAACACGATCGAATTCAAGAAGGAAATTATTGAAAAATATGAGAGTGGAGTGCGTGTTACAGAGCTTGCCAGGATGTATGGCAAGCCCCATTCAACCATCACTTCGATCGTGGAAACTATTGTGGCATTGGGGATGTCCCTGGGGTTGGAGGTGAGTGGTGAGGATGTGGAAAAGTTGGTGGAGGACCACAGGGAAGAGCTAACCAATGAAGAGCTGCAAGAGCTTCATCTGCAACAGCAACAGATCACAGCTCAGGAAACTACTGCAGAGGAGGAGGAAGAGAGATGGAGGAAGGTGCTTTCTTCAAAGATTAAGGACATTTGTGGAAAGTGGACTGAAGTGCAAACATTTATGGATGAACTTCACCCTAACAAAGCTGTTGCAGGCCATATTGGCAACATGTACAATGACAGTGTTGTGTCCCACTTTAGGGAAATCTTAAAGAAATGCCAGAAACAGACCTCTCTGGACAGATATTTTGTGCAACAGGGGTCCAGTGACTCTCAAGCTGGTCCCAGTGGCATTAACCCTTTGAGGGTTTCGGACGTACTAGTATGGCTTACGACCCAGGGTTTTTGACGTACTAGTACGCCTAAATTCTAGCGCCCTCAAATCTAGTGGGAGAAAGCTGGTAGGCCTTCATATGAAAGAATGGGTCTATGTGGTCAGTGTGCACAGTCTAAAAAAAATCCTGCAGCACACAGTGCATAATGAGAAAAAAAAAAACTTTGACCATTTTTTTGGAATAAAACAGCGACTTTGCACTGTATTTTCGTATGGTATTTATTGTTGTATTCTAGTTTTCTTGGTCTCATTTTATAGAATGGAAGACATATTACAGAAATTGAGATGATTTTGACTGGTTTTACAATGAAAGGTACCTTGAAATTGAGCTCAAAGTAGCAGAAATGTTCGATTTTTACCAAATTTCAAAAGTAAACAAATCGTGCCAAGCATGCAATATACGTCAACTGGTGAGTCTAATATTCTTTCACAAGTGCGCCAATAATATTTATACCATTTTTTACACTAATGCCGTAGTCTGCATAACAGTAAATCTTATATTTTTTCTGAGAATAAAAATTCAAAGCGGAAAGCAAAAGAATATAAGAGGGGCCTTGAGACGTGACTAATGACCAGAGGAAATGTCATTTTAGTGCCAGGAATGTCTTTCTTGTTTATTCTGGACCCTATTCGGAAATTGGCATCTTTTGAAATTTGTGTGAAATTGGCAAAATTGCTAAATTCTGACCACTGTACTGGATAGTTGAATTTCATAAATGGGTGGTTTCTTGCACCCATTCGATAGAAAAAATGGAGTTCTAGCGAAATATTCATGTTTTTTGTCGACTAGTACAGTGGAATTGGCCGAAAATGGGGCTCAATGTGGGCAAAATCGCCGATGCGTAAACATCGCCGAGACCACTAACTTTGCAAGAGCATAATTCCGTAAGTTTTCCATCAAATTTCAAGCTTTTGGTGTCTTTATGATTGGGAAAAGATTCTCTATCTTTCCATAAGAGAAAATAATTTTTTTTTTTTTTTAAATTTGGCCGACCCTGAGAACGAGTTTCGGAGAGGGCCTGTCGACCCTCAAAGGGTTAAAAGAAGAAGGGAAGTAACCCCAGATATGGGCTTCATACCTGAAGTCCTAATGGAAGGAGATTCTCCTTCCAAAAATTAGTGTACACCTTCCTCCTATCCCCTCCTCCCATCTTCCATCCACACAGAAGTCTTCAGTAAAGGTAAGTGTAATGTTATTATTATTTTTTTAAATGCATGTACTTTATTTCTGATTGTTTTCATTATGTAAATCTATTTTTAATTTGAAAAAAAATATTTTATTTTAATAGTTTTGGGTGTCTGGAACGGATTAATTTTATTTCCAATATTTCTTATGGGGAAAATGATTTCAAGTTTCGTGAATCTCGAACTTCGGCGGGCTCTCTGGAACAGATTAATCACGAAACTCGGGGGTCCACTGTACTAATAATAATTTTTAACACCAGCCATCTCCCACCATAGCATGACCTGAAAGAGAGGAAACACATTCAATGTCAGAAGTCAGTCACTATGCCAGAAACATGCAGATATCACAGTTCAGAAAACCCTCTAAATCGTCACCCCTCCTCCAGAGTACAGGCACTGTACTTCCCACCTCCATGACTCAAGTGCTCAGCACCTGCTCCTAGGCTGAGGGACTGATTACCTATCTCCCATTATTTGCTGTATACATTTCTATTACATTTTTTATAAAGTCAGGAGCAAGGGGCTAGTAACCCCTTCTCCTATATAATTACTACAAGTAAAAAGAAAAACTTTCATTTTTATTTTTAGATCACCCTGCCTTGGTGGGAGATGGCTGGTGTGTTAAAAAAAAAATTATTGCGCCCAATGGATGGCAAAATGTCTACAAGTAAAGATACCCAGATGTTACATGTCTAATTCATCATCTTGTCAGTGTTGAATACCACTGGTACACACCATACCACAGGTAGGAATAGAACCCACGATCAGAGAACCATAAAACTCCAGACTGATGCACTAGCCACTAGGCCAGATGGCCAGCTGGTTCTATCCCCGCCCATGGTATGGTTTGTTTGCAACTGTGTCACTACAATTTCGTGAGTATTGATACACACTTTACAGGTGGGCCCCACTGATACAGCAGGTTAGGTTCTGGGCTACTGCTGTAAAGTGAAAATTGCATTTTTTCACTTTCAAATGCATATAAAAGCCTGTTAACATGTTTACATTATCATATATTGAGTGAGCAATAGACCTAGGCCTAAAAAATGCAAATACATACAGTGCACACAGTACTTACTTTAATATATTTTTGACTTTGGCTTATAATAAGTAGTGAATTTATTTATTGTAGGAAGTCTGAATAAATGAAGAATTGGTATAATTGAAAAGTGCTGCATTAGCAAAATGCTGTACAGTGAAGCACTGTAAAGCAGGACCCTCCGGTATTTTGGATAGACGTATTGGGCTGCATCCTTGCACTGTCAAGTACTATATAAATTGAAATCATTAACAACCTTGAAACAGATGATTATATTGATGTAAAAATATAATAATGTGTTTGAAGATGTTAGAAAATATGGTATTACTACATCCATTTCTACAAACAAGCAGTAACAGGTGGATGAATAAGAGACATGAGCTACACTTGGGTATCTTGATGGTGGAGACATTTCACCAACCACTGGCTTATCAGTTCACTGCAGAGAACAACCCAGGTAGTAGTTTGAGGTGATCAATCCCTCAGCCTTCATCAGTCTGTTGGAGATGATGGAAGAATTGAAGTACGTAATAACTTGTAGTAAAAGTTCATATACATTAATATCTCATACTTATATGATACTAGAATCTTGGTACAGAGAATTCTCCTGCAACTTTAATGCTTGCCTAAGCTATTATCATGACCTACTTCCACTAGTGAACTCTACCACCCATGACATCGCCTCTGAACTGCTTCACCTCTCCTGATAAACTAGACACATATGAAACACTTGGGTATCTTTATTGAGGAAACGTTTTGCCACACAGCGGCTTCATCAGTCCATACAAAGGAGAATGGTGAAGAACAAGAGGAGTGTGAGGTAATCAGTCCTTTAGCCTTGAGTCGATGTAATCAAAACCACCTTCAAGGCTGAAAAAGTGATCACCTCAGACTACTTCATGTCATCTATTATTTCCAGGTCTGTTTTCTGTATTAAAGCCATTGGTTGACTGGCAAAACATGAAATGTCTCTACAATAATGATACACATGAGTGTTGCATGTAATACCTAAGTGTTGCAAGTGATGATTACGTCCAAGGAGTGATACCCAAGTGTTGCACATGATACTCAAGTGTTGCAAGTGATACCCAAGTGTTGCATGTGATACCCAAGTGTTGCACATGATACCCAAGTGCTGTACGTGTATTATTCAGGCATTGACATCACAAAATAAAATAGAACACATATATGGTATGTTAAGTCAGGGAAGGTTAAGTAAGGTTGGGTTACCATTGCTCTTACATATTTAATATTACACTTGCTGTAAATAATGAGAGCAATGACAGTCTGAACCATGTTAAGCTCTATCCTCTGTGCCCAGGATAATACCCAAATCTGGACTGAACTGGACTGAAAGAGAACAGGTAGACAACGCTGGTGACAATTTCTACAATAACGCACCAAAAATTGTAGAATATCTGTAGAAAGAGGAACAGAAAGTATTGTTTAGCTTAATGTGTTTATTTAGGTACAAGTATACATAAGTATGATTACCATACATAATGCAAATTAAAGGCCAAAAAGTCACAATAATGTGACTGGAACAATAACAAATAACCCACACACAGGAGAAAGAAATTTGTGGCGATGTTTTGGTTCGATTTGGACCATTAAATAATCAGTGGTCCAAGTCGGACCAAAACATCATCATAAGCTTCTTTCTATGTGTGGGTTATTTGTGTAAAGTGTTAATTACCCTGGATAACCCAGAAAAGTCAAACAAAGTGACTTATTTCCATTGGGGGTCCTTGAATTTCCATTGAGGTCATGGAATTTCCATTGAGGTCATGGAATTTCCATTGGGGTCCTTGAATTTCCACCGAGGGTAATATAGAAAAAATGTCAAATATCTGTAAACAATACATGCCTTAAAATCTAATAATAATAGAATTACCAACAATTTGTCAGATAAAAAGAACACAAGTGTAACTAATGAGGCATTTCATTGCAGGCAACGTTTCACTCTCCAGGAGATTTAACAAGCTGTTATAGCTTGGAGAGCAAAACGTTGCTGCAAAAAAATGTTGCATTCGTTGCAAATGTATCCGTTCACCTAACAATATATAATACAGCTTCAAAAGTATATTGAGGCGCCTCATAAAAACCTGTTGGAAAAAAGTTTATACTGGCATTATATAAAAAAAACGTGCTTAATATTCTTCTTTCCACATTAATGTGCTGAAATGAACACTTAAAGAAAATATTAATCGGCAAAACAAAGTGGAAATTAAACCTAAATTTATTATAAAAAAGCAGCGCTAAACCTACAAGGGTCATACAATTAAACCTAAAAAAAACAAGAAAATACGATAATTCAGCAAAGTTCTCACCTGACAAGCTAAATTATTATCAGCCATGGTGATTAAGTCAATAAATAACAATTAAGCCACTAAGATATCCACTGAAGATAACCAAAGTTAATTTAGTTGTTATCAGTGTTGCATCACCTAATGTGTTCCTAATTTCCTTATTAGATCACTTATTGTTTCTAACTCCCTCCTAACACCTGTAGTCTCCATGAAGTTTCCTCAACCTATTGTAGATATATATGTGAGTAATATATGAGAGTATCAATGGTAACAACGTAAACAATGTTAAACAATATTTTCCTGGTATTTTGTTGGGTTAAAAAGTTACGAGAGAGAGAGGAGCCGTCTGAACCCTTCTGATGGGTTTGTCACTTTATCTGACCTTTTGGCGGGTTATTCTGGGTAATTTAGGTAAGTAAGTATGTTTATTTAGGCACAGGTACACATAAGTACAATTATTATACCCAGTTACATGTGTAAATTAACTAGGATAACCAGAAAAAGTCAAAGTGACTTATTTCCCCTGGGTTGTGTATTTGTACCTCAATAAGAGGAGCTGCATGAACCCTCTGGTTCCATTACTGACTTAATATACTTTATTCATGCACAAGTATGTATAAATTCAGTTACTTAAGTTCTGATTTATTACAGTTTTCTTACATAGTAACCTGTGGATAGCTTTTGATACAGTGGACCACAAGTTCCTACATCTTAAACTGGAATATTATAGGGTCAGAGGACATGCTCTTGTATACCTACAATCTTGTTGTATATGAATGGTATACAATACCTGCAAGATGAAGAATTAGACACATGTGCAACATGTTGCACATGTGTCTAATGCTTCATACCTAAAGTCTTATTTTCCTATCAGTTAGCAATATGTCTCAATGAATGGAGTAAGTTCTTCAACTCGGCCTGTGGACACAGGAGTGCCTCAAGGCAGTGTTCTTGGCCCTCTGTAAGTTTATTCAGGTACAGATACACATAAATACAGTTACATAAATTATCATACATAGCAGCATATGTGTAGATTACCCAAGATAATCCAACAAAAGTCAAAGTGACTTATTTCCACTTTGGTCCTTGATTTGCATTAGAGTCCTTGTTCTTCCTATGTGCATCTCATCTTGAACCTGTTCTGTTCTCAGATAAACAACTTTTGTCATCTCTCACTCATATCTGACTTCTCTCAACTACACTGTTAATGATGAGTTACTAAAAATATCTACGTGGATGACTACCAACAAACTCACCCTTAATACTGACAAAATATATTACAATATGTTTGGTAACAGAGCTTCAAATATTCAGTATTCTTAATATACACTGAGGGTCATTTCTTAGGTCTACATATGGAATGTAACTTGAAATTTAATATCCACATTCAGCACATAGCCAAGAAGGCCTCCAAAACAGTAGTTATCCTCTCCAAGATGCATTACTATATACCCTAGTACCCTAGTACCCTAGTACCCTAGTACCCTCACTCATCAAAATTTAGACTTAATATACAAAACATGCACTCATTCTACTTTCTGCTAAATATATAAGACAATCAACTCCAACATAAACTTCCCAGGCCCGGTGGCCTGGTGGCTAAAGCTCCCGCTTCACACACGGAGGGCCATGTTCGATTCCCGGCGGGTGGAAATTCCGACACGTTTCCTTACACCTATTGTCCTGTTCACCTAGCAGCAAATAGGTACCTGGGTGTTAGTCGACTGGTGTGGGTCGCATCCTGGGGGACAAGATTAAGGACCCCAATGGAAATAAGTCAGACAGTCCTCGATGACGCACTGACTTTCTTGGGTTATCCTGGGTGGCTAACCCTCCGGGGTTAAAAATCCGAACGAAATCTTATCTTATCTTCTGACAGAGAAAACTCTGACATCTTCCTTGTCTGACTCAACCTGTGTAAGAACTTAATGGCCAAAAAAAGCCCCCAAGATCTGGAATTCACTACCTGAATCATTGAAAAAACTGTCTGCAAATAGATTCAGACTATTGTTAAAAGCACTTTATCTCCTGTGACAGCAATAGGCTATGTCAAACCAAACCAGTTTTCATCCAGTTCTGTTCCTGTTCTTCCTCCGGTCATCCTTCATCTCCCATATATAATTAGTAACACATCATGTCCCACTCTATTTATAATATAATCTGAGTAACTTGCTGTATCTTCATCTCTATTCAATCACTCCATAAAACTGAAGATCAATGAATCAACTTGAAATAACATGTAATTCCCTGGTAATTAACAATTTGTTCATTAACTACCTTACTTAATGTACTTATAACTGTAGTTAACTACACCAGAAATACCACTTAATAATCTATATCCAGTTCTTAAATAACATTTATTAAGACAAGACAAAGTTTAGAATTACTTTGTCTGAAATATATTGTATAATTAGTGTCTTTCTTATGTTCCTACCTGTGTTTTATTATATGTAAATTGTATTATTTTGTACCGAATAAAAAATAAAATTGTATTTTATTGTATTTCAAAATAACATCAATGAAATAGGAAGAACAAGTCAGTCTCATTCATGAGCCAAATTTTATGAACAAATAGTCAAATACACAATTATTATCATTAGCAGTCAAGTTATAAATTAAAACTGCAGTAGTAATTGACTTATATAAAGCTAAATATGAGCCTCTCGTTAATCTAGACTGCATAAAATAAAGAGATATTATTAAAAGTTTGTGTCCCATGTTGGTGCTGACTTGGACTGTGTCAACCAAAATAGACACCGGTGGTGCAGTTATCATGGTGATTATTTAATCTAATATTATCAACTCCTGACTTATTCTTCCACTTCTATGTTACTCTAGAACCTTCCTGATGTACATTAATTATGTTCTCTGTGTTATAATTGTTCATAAATACAGAGGGACTTGACAGAACTTTGCAACTTAGTGGACTGTCTGTCCCATGTGGGTTTAGCGCTTAGTTATATTATTGATGGTTATAATGAGGATGTTCATTGGAATAGCTTTTACTATAGCTTGAGTGAGGTACCTTGAAGGCGGTGAAGGGCTCTTGTTCCAAGATATTTGATCTAGGCTTTAAATGTCATAAAGACCCCAATGGAAATAAGTCAATTTGTCTGACTTTTTTTTTTTTTTTAGTTTTCTTGGTAATTTAGATGTTATTATATAATAAGATCACAGTAAACAGGTGATATTACAATATACAATATAACCACTGTGAAAAAATTTGTGAATTTCCAAGCGTTTTCGTGATTTCTCGCGTTATCCTTAAAGAATAAAAATAAATAACGATTTTATTTCTTTGTAAAGGTTACAATGTGAAATTAAAATTTTGGTTTGCTAAGTACAAAGAAAGTAACCATCATGTCGGGGCATTATTACTACCTGGAATCACCATTTATTACCCCAGTGGAAATAAAGGACCCCAGTGGAAAAATAAAGGACCCCAGTGGAAAAATAAAGGACCCCAGTGGAAATAAAGGACCCCAATGGAGAAATAAAGGACCCCAGTGGAAATAAGTCACTTTGACTTTTTTGGTTATCCTGGGTAATCTACACATATGCTGCTATGTATGATAATTTATGTAACCGTATTTATGTGTACCTGTACTTGAATAAATTTACTTACATATTACAGGCTGTGTTTGGGGTGCAGTTGGTGGTGACGATGGTGATGGCCAGTGTGTTGTCTCGCATCACACCGCATTACTCGTTAGCACGATGGCTCCTCTGTGGCACCGGGTATGTGAACCACCTCTGTCTGTTCAGTAAACTACTCTTCACTGTCCAGCAGAGTCGACCATCAATATGGACTTAGTATTTTTGTAATTCATGTATTAATAATATTTCATTTGCGTAGTAAAGGGTTTTGTATAAAAAATTCAATATGTAATTACTATACACGAAATCTTATACAGTTAATACGTATAAATTTTTGTAATTACAATACATTTGCCATTATTTGTATATTCTTCAGTTTATATTTGTAAGAATTTTTGGTTCATCACCCAGATAAATTTTATCACTTGACAGAATATTTGGAGACTGTTATTGGCTATAAATACAACCCAAATAATTATACGTTTCTCTTGACAGGCTGGTATACTACCTGCACCCTACAGATGAAGAGCTACGAAGCTTGGCTGGAATACCGAAAGACAAAGGGAAGAAAGGAAAAGGAGGGGGGAAGGGGAACAGTAAAGGAGGAACGGCTGCAGAAGACGATGGGACATTTACTGTACCTCGGAGTCTGGACTTATCTCTGGAAACTTCACGCATGGTTCCTGGAGAAGTGATGCAGCTCAAGTTTTACGCTGAGTACCAGTGGCTTCTTGACTTTGCACTTTGTGCTGCAATAGTATATATCATCACTGAGGTATTTACCAGAATCCTTATAATGCTCCCAGATATGTTGTTTAAATATATAATAAATGTGTATTGCAATATCCTCTAAGAAATATGCAGTGCAGAAAATCCTCAACGTTACGAACACTGGGAACCTTCTGAATTGTGTATAATATGAATATAATAATAATATACAAATTAATGATGCTATATGCAATATAGAAGATTCTCAACATGTTTGTAAGTCAAGGACTTACTGTACATAAAATGCTGTTTTATGTGTCGGTATATATTGAGTACGTATTTGCAAATCTTGATGTGACTTACTCAGATTATTGTGTGTACTTGCCATGGTACCAAAGGGAATGCTGGACTCTTTGTATTTTGTACTCTTATGTTGTGATATAGCCTCTGATAATGAACTACGCTAGTCACTTATTTTTGAGGTAGTACAGTATAATGCTCAACCCCGCAAGATGTTTTAAGACCTAAAATCAGGGATTGTGGAAAATTTTAGTATGCAGTACTAAGAATATAGTATATGCATTCATTGTGCCCAGTTGGCCAGTAAAGTATATACTATATACAGTATATATATCACTCCCAGTTTAAGGGTTAATAGTCTGCCATATTGGCATGATTTTGCTAAAATTTCTATGATATAAAATTTCTTAATTTACTTAGCCTTACCAAGAATTTACATAACTTTAGTAAACTTTTTTAGGTGTTTGGGAGCCATATCTTCAGGTAATATGAGAAGTCAGAACCCATTCCTAAACTCTGACACATTATTTTCACTGATCCTGGTGAAAATAATGTGTTTCTGAGGAAAACATCCTCAATTTGTCTTCATGTCTGTTCTACTGGAGTTTACAGTACTCCTGCCTAGTCATATCCATAGTACTCTAATTAGTTCATAGCACGCTACAGGATCTAAGGTTACTTTTAAATGCTTCGGGTGGTCTGGTTATGTTGCTTTTTTACCATGGTGCCACCAAGTCACGTTTCTAATGTTTCTGTATTAATTACACATACACAAATAACTTGCACATAGGGGAAAGAAACTTATGACGACATTTTGGTCCAACTTAGACCATTAAATGTCTTTCTCCTGTGCTCAGGTTGTTTGTGTATTGTTCCAACTACAAAATTGTGCCTTTTTATTCTTCAATTACAGATCTTTATGGCAGTGGCTCCCCCAAAGGCTGAGGTAAACCTGAGCATGCTGTGGTGTCTGCTGGCTGTTGGCTTCTCTTTGTATCCTTTTATTAGCCAGATGTAGGATAATTTATTAGTGAGGAAAGGCACATTGCTGCATATTTTTTTTTTAATGCGTCAGCTGTCTCCCGCCTAGGCAGGGTGACCCAAAAAAGAAAGAAACACTTTCACCATTATTCACACATAATCACTGTCTTTGCATAGGCACTGCATATGTACTTCAAATTTTGGATTAAAATAAAACTCTAATAATGGCTGCTTAATATTTTTCTTATGCCAGGGAAAGCACATAGCTTTATAATAAAGAATCGGATATCTTTTTATTAACCCTTTCAGGGTTTCCGATGTACTAGTACGGCTTACGCACCAGGGTTATTGACGTACTAGAATGCCTAAATTCTAGCACCTTCAAATCTAGCGAGAGAAAGTTGGTAGGCCTACATATGAAAGAATGGGTCTATGTGGTCAGTGTGCGCAGTATAAAAAAAAATCCTGCAGCACACAGTGCGTAATGAGAAAAAATAAAATTTGACCACGTTTTTGGATTAAAGCAGCGACTTTGCACTGTATTTTCGTATGGTATTTATGGTGTACTTCTAGTTTTCTTGGTCGCATTTTACTACGAATGGTAAAACATTAATTACAGAAATTTAGGTAATATTGATGGTTATGTGGTCTTCGCATGTATAAATAAAAATTGAGAAATGCGAATGAGACAGAAATTAAATTTGACCAAAGTTAAGGATTAAACAGCACTTTGCGACTGTAATCAGTATAATGTGTATCTAATTTTCCTGTTCACAAGTTGTTATATTATTAAACCATTGATTTTTTTTTTGTTTTTTTTTTAGCTGTATAGCCCATTGTGGTCTCAGCGAGCTTCTTATTGATTAATAATATTATAATTAATTATTATACCATTTTTACACTAATGCAGTAGCCTGCATAACAGTAAATCTTCTATTTTTTGTGAGAATAAAATTTCAAAGTGGAAAGCAAAAGAATGTAAGAGGGGGGTGAGGACAGTGACTAACGAACAGGGAACTTCTTATTTTAGTGCCAGGAATGTCTGTCTTGTTTATTCTGGACCCTATTTGGAAATTGGCATCTTTTGAAATTTGTGTGAAATTGTCAAAGTTGCCAGTTCCTAACCACTTTATTGGATAGTTGAAATTGGTAAATGGGTGGTTTCTTGTACTCATTCAATAGAAAAAATGGAGTTCTAGCGAAATAAATATGATTTTTGTCGACTAGTACACAGGAATTGGCCAAAAATAGGGCTCAAAGTGGGCGAAATCACCGATGCGTAAACATCGTCAAGACCGCTAACTTCATGAGAGCATAATTCCGTAAGTTTTTTATTAAATTTCATACTTTTGGTGCCATTATGATCGGGAAAAGATTCTCTATCATTTCACATGAAAAAATAATTTTTTTTTTTTTCCGAAAAATTTTCAGACCCTGAGAACGAGTTTAGGAGAGGGCCTCTCGACCCTGAAAGGGTTAACAGTAATATTCGTGTGTGTTTAATAAAATTAACTATTACAGTAATTGATGAAATTGTGTGTTGTAGTACAGTATTATGCTTTTGATTTTTATTATTGTTAGAAACCTATATATACATTAAGTGTCAGTTGTAAGGCAGCAGTTTTGAGCATTGCCTCTAGAAGGTGAGATGTGTTATCAAAACTATTGTGTTTACATTATGTAGCAGCAGAGTGACGTCCTAAGAAATAAATTTATACCTTTGGTTATGTCAAATTCCATGATGTATAAAATAATTATTCTTCCCTCATGCATTGTTTTCCTTAGCACAATCCTCAGTAAAGTTATGTTCTCTCTGTCTATGCTCTATTTCTGCGGTGAAGACTCTGGTGGAGAGAAAGCTATGGTTGTTCTTTCGTTCTTCACATATCTCCTCATAGCTCTGGGTATGCTGATCCTCGATGAAAGCAAGTTGGAGCTGGGCCTCGAGTTAGCTTACTCATCCTTCAATTCTAGTGCTGCAGCTTTCCTTAAAGCGCAAGGTCTACCATCTGAGTAAGTCTCTTACATTCTTCTTTATTTTTGCAGATACTTCTATCTTCAGAAATGTAGGTTTAGAATGATAGGATATTTTTATTCACAGATTTTTACCTAAAGTTGCTTATATAAAAGCACTTGCCTTGTGAGAACTTTTTTCCAGTTTAAAATGTCTGTTGAATGTAAATTTCTTTATTAGGGGTCAGGCCCTTAATTAATACAATATTTCATTGATAGTATCTTAGGTATTTAAAGAATAAATTTACTAGTCAAAGAACAAGGTTATTTTGGAATACATACTGTACTTCTGTGCCCTCAGTGCAGTTCCTACAAAAAACAGGTTAAAGTCATTAAAATAACATAGTAGGACATATTACTGAAAAGGATATAATAATAATATAATAATACATATCTTTATTTCTTCATGGGGAAGTGGAACAGAATTCTTCCTCTAAGCCATATATTTCGTAAGAGGCAACTCAGATGCCGGGAGCAAGGGGCTAGTAACCCCCTTCTCCTGTGTGCATTATTAAATTTAAAAAGAGAAACTTTCGTTTTTCTTTTTAGGTCACCTTGACTTGGTGGGATATGACCAGTTTGTTGAAAATTTATTTTTTATTTTGACAGGTACATGTACAAGGTATACAGGCCAAGCATACATCAGTAACATACTACTATATAGAAAGTCTTTTGCTATGCAGACCATTTCCCACTAATTAGGTCAATTTTATCCCAGGATGCAACCCACACCATCAGGGTTACCCATAGTAGTTTAATCATCATTAAAGATTATTTTGACTTTATTATCATACATATATAATAGAGTATATTAACCCTAGTGATTTTTAGGCAAACTTCTTAATTATTTTAATATTTACTGACATTTAACCTCTTGACTGAGGTTCCTTGAAGCCAGTAAGGGGCTCTTGATCCAAAGAATTGGACCTGCTTTATATCTTGGATCAAACCTGAATGCCCCTCCATTCCCCAGACACTCTAAACCCTACAGGTTTGGTGCTCCCTTCCTAAATATAATAATAATAATGATCAGTTAGTTATTTTGCATAAGATGTCATCAAACCCCTAACTAAATCAGAGAGGTTATATAGTGGAGTATATTGTAAGGTCAGGAGCTCTCTTTAGTCGTTATCAAGGTACACTTCATTTTAAATTACTGCAATCTTGTAGAATGATCTATAAATTATAAGGAATTGACTTGCATCCAATAATTATTTAGGAGATGATCCAGGTGTGAGACAAATAATGGCTCAGCTTTGCTTTAGAAGGGTGTAACCTTGAAATAACTGATCCTAGGTCAGTGATGTATGGGTGAGAGAGTATCAGTAATGATTATTTTACTTTCCCATTATTTATTGCAAATGTAGACCTTTGTCTAAGTTACAGTAATTAAAACATTTATGTCTTTATTCTCTGTATAACTTCTGGCCAAGTAAAATTCTCCTCATTAAGCTATAAAGGACGTTAATAAATGCACTTACCGTATTTTACGGTGAATAAGACACTCCGGTGTTGAGGACACCCTGCCCAATTCTGATTGACTAAATTTTGGGAAAAAAAAAATAAATGGTATTTTGGCCTTCAAGATGCTGGGTAAATTTTTGAGACTTATTTTGTGAAAAAAATAGCTTCTTCAACGCCGTAAAATATGGTATATTTACGTCAGGGAAAGAAATTTTTAATATCCTTGTCCCTATAAAAAGTGAGGAGGTAAAGTATATGTCCTGGTGTACATAACAAGGCATCTCATTGTTTATCAGATTTTTACTCATTTGCTTTACCTTGAAAAAATTGTTGTTTATATATGTAGTTAAAAAATTTATGGCTTTTATGTTTTTAGAAATCATTTGTTCAAGTTCTTTTTTTTTTATTCTAGTGGTCCGGCATCTAAAGTGACATTCAAGATAATCCTTGCAATGCTATGTGCACTGATCGGTGCCTTCTACACATTTCCAGGACTGAGATTAGGCAAGATGCACTGGGATTCCCTAAGGTTAGTGACATTGTTTTAATTAATTCCTGTTACTGTTTTACACCTTTCCTGGCATCTCTTACAGGAAGATAATTCAATAGCATTGTGGTTTTATGTGAAAGCATTACTTTAGGTGGATGGTAAGTAGATGAACATATCCCTTGATGTTTCTCTTTGACCACATTTATTTTTCTTTTCAGTTCTCAAGTATGCATATACAGGTTTCTGTCACTTTAAGATAAGATAAGATAAGATTTCATTCGAATTTTTAACCCCGGAGGGTTAGCCACCCAGGATAACCCAAGAAAGTCAGTGCGTCATCGAGGACTGTCTAACTTATTTCCATTGGGGTCCTTAATCTTGTCCCCCAGGATGCGACCCACACCAGTCGACTAACACCCAGGTACCTATTTGCTGCTAGGTGAACAGGACAATAGGTGTAAGGAAACGTGTCGGAATTTCCACCCGCCGGGAGTCGAACCCGGGCCCTCCGTGTGTGAAGCGGGAGTTTTAGCCACCAGACCACCGGGCCAGAATTGTAATATCATGATTGCAAACAAACCATGGAACAGGTGGGGTTAGAATCCATGGCGAGTGAGTCATAAAACTCAGGCCAGTGCATAAAACACTGGCCCAGAGTTTTGTGATTCACTTGCCAGGAGTTTTATGATTCACTTGCCAGGAGTTCTAACCCCGCCCATTCCATGGTTTGCCACTTTGTGGCTTTGCTTTATACAAATTTATTTTTATGCAGTGAGTCCATTTGTACTAGTAATTCACTATAAGTAATTTGCTCTTATACAGTACCCAAGGTCAGCACTACTGACTCTGGCAATGGCATAACAATTTGTTTGAAACAGTACTGCTTAATGTTCTCTCCTATATTGCAGGTACTGCACAGAGAGTAGGGTCTTGAAGCTGCTTTTCCACATTAGTTTTGTTGCACCTCTGCTGTTAGTGACAATGTGGATTAAACCAGTTTCCCGGAGGTACTTCACGGAGTACACCTGGCCTGGTCGCAGCCATCCTATGTGAGTGTCCTCTTAACAGTGGCTTTCTGCTGTTTTGTTTCTCTAGCTTCTGGTCTGTTTCTCTTGAAAGAAATGGTAGAGCCTTTTAAAAAGCTTCTAAATGAACCTCACACTGGTATTGCATTTATCAGAAATGAAAGAACCTTTTAAAAAGCTTGGAAGTGACCCTCACATTTGTGTTGCAGTTACCTGCCAAGTTGTCACTACTTTATGTTTCTCATGCTTATAAGTTTATATTGGTTTTATCCTTTAAGGAAAATGGAGGACTGTATCTTTCAAATCATTTATATCATCTATTCTTTTCTCAGTTTTGATTTTATTGATCTTTGCATTTCAGCATGAGCTCTGACATGTTCGACATTCTTCGCATCGTGTTAATTATAGTTGTGGGTGTGGTGCGTCTTTGTATGATGCCGTACTACCTGCAATCATATCTAAATCTTGCATATGACAAGATAGAGGAGCAAAAGAAGGAATCTGGTCGCATCACAAATAAAGATCTTCAGAAGAAGGCAAGTTCCATTGTTACTGTTCTTGTAATGATTTGATGAAAGAGAATTAAGTTAATTTAATGGTATAAATGAATTAAAAATCTTTAATTTATATTTTACCTGATGGGGAGTATTGATACACACGGTCAGGAATCATGATAGCTAATTGCCACCATCATTGAGGTAGTCATAAACGAATAGATTCTTAAATTCTTATTAGTTTAGCTCTAAACTTGATGTGCCGTATGTAAAAATTGTCAGACAACAAGTGGAAAGATGGTGATCATAGACTTGTATACAGCATTGCATTTTACTTTGTATATTATAAAGCATTTCATTGAGTGTAGAACATCAATGCACAAAACTTTAATTCTATTTTCATGGACTTAAGTTTATCCCACAGTTCAGATATTCCTTATACCTTCCCCTCTTAGTATATAAACCCATCAGTTTGTTATTTGCTATTAGTTTGCTTAACCTTGTGCTTTTTGTAGTTAATTGTCAGCAAAGTTGGATAATGGTTAGTGCGATGTCTGCATTTTTTATCATCTTAAGATTGCTGGGTGTTCTACATATTTTACTGTGTTGTGACACTTAGTCTATTGCACCGTCCAATTCCTTTACTCTCTTACCTTTCTCATTGTGTTTTAATGCTTTGGTTTTAGTTTATTTAAAGCAAATTTTAACTCTTCATGCATTTGATCAGGTTTTTTCATCTTCAGATTGCTCGGGTGTTCTACTATCTCTGTGTTGTGACACTTCAGTATATTGCACCGATAATTCTTTGTCTCTTCCTCTCCCTTATGTTTAAGACTTTAGGTGAGTATAAAAGCCAATTTTTTAATTAATGTACTAAAAATGTCTATGTAGTATCATTGTGCCAGAGGCACAATGATACTACAGTTCAGATGCCTTTCAAACTTCAAATACCTCCATCCCTCCTTTAGAGTGCAGGCACTGTACTTTCCACCTCCAGGACTCAAATCAGCTAACCGGTTTCCCTGAATCCTTTCACAAATGTTACCTTGCTCACACTCCAACTGCTCATCAGGTCCCAAAAACCATTTCCCCCCACTCCTATCTAACATGCTCACACACACCTACTGGATGTCCAAGCCCCTTGCACACAAAACCTCCTTTATCTCCTTCCTCCAACCTTTCCTAGGATGACCCCTACCCTGCCTTCCCTCCTCTACAGATTTATACACCCTCCAAGTCATTATTTTGCTCCATTCTCTCTAAATGTCCGAACCATCTCAACAACCTCTTCTCAGCCCTCTGTATAATACTTTTAGTAACCTCGCTCCTCTGAATCTCCAATCTACAAATTCTCTACATAATAGTTATGCCACACATTGCCCTCAGACATGACATCTCCACTACCTCCTTCTTGCTGCAATGTTCGCCGCTTATTCTTCACACCTATGTAAGAGTGTTGGTACCACTGTATTCTCGTATGTACATTGTTTCCACAGATGCCTCAGTGCACCACTCATCTTTTTCACTCATGTGCTTCAATGTCAATACTTGGTCTACACATCCCCTACCCTTCTAAAGTCTCCTTGTTCATCAGCGTTCCTGCTTACTGTCTTACTCTCAATTCCAGTCATGCTGTCACAGTAGTCTTTCTTCTTTAGCTGTACCATTAATGAACACTGGTGTTGTCACTTGTAAGAGTAAATAGTATGTAGAGGATGTTAAAGATCAATTGTTGTTAATCAAAGGTTTAGAGGTAATAAGTTAATGATTCCTGTCTTATCAGTGGCAATTACATAACAAGCAATTTCCAGGAGGACTTAGTTGGGGAGCATTACTTGGAGGCGTGAGTGAGCCAGAGGAGTGTGGTCTGACTCCTGACTTGGAGACTGAAGAAACAGTGGCAGCCACCATCCCCACCTTGCAAGATGCTCAAACTGTTATGGAAGCTACAAAGATACTCACTCTTGGAATGGAAGAGCTTAAGAAGGTAGAGTATTTTTCTCATTTGTAAAATGGTTTACAATATTTCTGAATATCAAGGGTATACGGTTTTGACAAGATGATAAATTAGACCCATGTCCAACATCTTGGGTATCTATACTCTGTAGATGCATTGTTAAAGCCATGGTTGGTGAAATGTCTACGTAGTAAAGATACCCAGATGTTGCACATCTGTCTAATTTACAATATTTCTGTTGGAATAACTGAAGCTAAGGAAGCATTATTATTACAGTTACAGAAAGCGTTGCCTCTATGAAATACTGTAGATTATGTTATCAATTATTATCTAACATCAGCCACACTTCATAGGTGTATCATATTTCCTCAAGTCACATAGTGATATAATCTAAATTAATAATACATTTTATTTCATAAGGACCTTAAAGCTCTTTTATCCTCAAAGCATTTAGAAGTATATTATTAGCGAGGAATCGAAGCAACATCCCAGCGGTTATTACTAACAAGTGGAAGGATATATAGTATTCATCATTGCTTGTCTTGTATGGTTTCTCACCAGTGTTCTACTTGCAGGTGTTCACTACTGAGTTCTACCGTGGAGTTTTGGGTTTTACAACTTGGTGGTGCATCTTCTCCTGGTTCCTCTCAGGCACATTTGGCGTTGCATATCAATCATATTTCACGAAAGGATAAAAGTGCTTTTTTGGATTTATATCTATCATTGTGTTTTTAAAAAGTAAATCTTAAAGAGTCTCTTCATGTGTTATATTTTTGTTGTTGTGTATCAGCCATGTTTTGAGTGAAACACGACTCATGAAATCTTAATACACGTGATAACGCGTACCATGGTTTGAGTGAAACATTTTTGAATGACTTACAGTTTTTATTTTTTTATTGTGCATCAGTCATAATCGACTCATGGAAAAAGATCTTCAAATGTGAATTGTTCATGTCCCTAGATTGTCAAGAGGATTTATTAGTGTAAATCTGGCTTAAGTTTGATTTTTATGTAACAAAGTTTATGCTTGCTTGTCTTTATACTGTGCAGATATTGGGATGTTTTAAATCAACTTTTGATCATTTGTACTATATTTTGTTTGCATTATCATATAAATTACAGTAATATACTTTATGAACAGTATAGAAAAAATGAAAAATGGTTTCAAGTGCAGATGCTCCTTGCTTTATGATAGTTCAACTGACAATATTTCGACTTCACGATAGTGCTATGTACAGTAGTGTGCATTTATTGATATGATAAACTTGCATTTATTTATTTACTCTTCAATACTGGTATTTAGTTACAGTAATTATTTGTTTATTTAATTATTTAGTAACTAGTTATTTATTTACTTATTTATGTATTTGTATTTTTTTTTAACAAGTCGGCCGTCTCCCACCGAGGCAGGGTGACTTAAAAAGAAAGAAAATCCCCAAAAAGAAAATACTTTCATCATCATTCAACACTTTCACCTCACTCACACATAATCACTGTTTTTGCAGAGGTACCCAGAATACAACAGTTTAGAAATATATACGGGAAGGCCCCACTTATACAGCTGGTTAGGTTCCAGGCTACCGCCGTAAAGCGGAAACCGCCGTAAAGTTGAACACCCTTTTTTTCCACTTACAAATGCATACAAACACTAGATAACAAGTTTACACTAACATATATTAAGTTAGCAATAGAACCAGGCATCAAAAAACAATAAAAAAGTACAATACACACATAGTGCACTCATTACTTACCTTAAAATATTTATAGTCTTAATCTAGGGTGAGACAAGTAGTATTTATTGTAAGAAATCAAGTGTGGTATGTATGGTAGTCAGCCAGGCTACCATACCAGGCCACCCCACCCACACATACAATTCTATGATATTTAAGCATCCCAGAGCGATAAAATGTATATACAGTTCACTCATTACTTACCTTAAAATATAGGGTGAGATGAGTAGTATTTATTGTAAAAAATTAAGTGTGGTATGTATGGTAGTCAGCCAGGCTACCATACCAGGCCAACCCACCTACACATAATATTCTATTACATTTAAGCATCCCAGAACGATAAAATGTATATACAGTTCACTCATTACTTACCTTAAAATATTTGTAGTCTTAATGTAGGGTCAGGAGTAAGTAAATGAGATAAAACGAATAAATGAGAGAGAGAAAGAATGAGTGCATGAGAGAGGACAGGCGCAGAGTTATGTAAACAAACCAGGCAAAGGTAAGTTTTGTAAACGAAGTGTACACGTCTGGTTTGTGTACAAGTTACATTGTGTACAGGTTGTCTCTACATTGATACGGTAGAATAAATAAAGAAGAACACTCCCATTCTCATGTAACATTTTGAGAAGAAATGATGCTCTGAGTGAAGGCAATGGAAATAAGTCACTCTGACTTTTTTGGGTTATCCTAGGTTCTCTACACATATGTTGTTATGTATGATAATCTATGTAACTGTATTTGTGTATACCTGAATAAACTTACATACATACGAAAGGAATAATTTTCTACAGTTACCCCCAGTAACACATTTTCTCTTATGTTAGATTAGAGAAAATGTTATTCTTGGCATCACTTGTACAAGTTATCTGGCTACCACATCTCATATTTATGTTTATTTATTCTATTGTAGGGTGTATTTATCATCTTTTTATGTTATGTATCGTGTTTATTATATAATTTTGAAAAAAATATCGTGGATGGATTAATGAAAATGTGTATATTAACGTAATATACAACATTTAATGAGACTCGGTGATTATTATTATTATTATTATTATTAGCATTTCTAATATGGCGTCACTTGTGCAAGTCATCTGCTACCACATCTCATATTTATGTTTATTTATTCTATTGTGGGGTGTATTTATCATCTTTTTATGTTATGTATCGTGTTTATTATATAATTTTGAAAAAATATCATAGATGGATTAATGAAAATGTGTATTTAACGTAATATACGACATTTAAATGAGACTCAATTATTATTATTATCATTACTAATATGACGTCTGGAGACATAAGACACTCTTACTGATTTTAATGTGTACCTGCATGCCAGCACAGTATGTAAGTTTATTTAAGTACAGGTATACATAAGTATAATTATCAGAGTATATATAAAATATGAAATAACTTTTAAAAACTTTTGAAATTTTGGAGTTTCCAGACAAAATGGAGAGACTTAGTGCTTACTGAGCTCACGAAGAATGTAAACAAACAAGGTGGGGCACGGTGACCGTATTAGAAAGTCAGGTGGGGGGAGCCGTATAGTGAGTTTTGGTCATAATTTGAAATTATCGTATTAGCGGAACGCCGTAAAGTGAAACGCCGTAAAGCGGGGCCCTGCTGTACGTATAAAAATACACAATATATCCCTCCAAACTGCCAATATCCCAAACCCCTCCTTTAGAGTGCAGGCATTGTACTTTCCATTTCCAGGACACAAGTCCGGTTATATAAAATAACCAGTTTCCCTGAATCCCTTCACTAAATATTACCCTGCTCACACTCCAACAGCTCGTCAGGTCCCAAATACCATTTGTCTCCATTCACTCCTATCTAACACACTCACACACGCTTGCTGGAAGTCCAAACTCCTCGCCCACAAAACCTCCCTTACCCCTTCCTCCAACCTTTTCGAGGACGACCTCTACCCCACCTTCCTTCCCCTACAGATTTATACACTCTCCATGTCATTCTACTTTGATCCATTCTCTCTAAATGACCAAACCACCTCAACAAACCCTCTTCAGCCCTCTGACTAATACTTTTATTAACTCCACACCTAATTTCCACACTCTGAATTTTCTGCATAATATTTACACCACACATTACCCTTAGACAGGACATCTCCACTGCCTCCAACCACCTCCTTGCTGCAGCATTTAGAACCCAAGCTTCACACCCATATAAGAGTGTTGGTACTACATACATTCCCTATGCCTCCATAGAAAACATTTTTTGCCTCCACATATATACCTCAATGCACCACTCACCTTTTTTCCTTCATCAATTCTATGATTAACCTCATCCTTCATAAATCCATCTGCTGACACATCAACTCCCAAATATCTGAAAACATTCACTTCTTCCATACTCCTCCCCAATTTGATATCCAGTTTTTCTTTATCTAAATCATTTGATACTCTCATCACCTTACTCTTTTCTATGTTCACTTTCAACCTTAACACACTCCCAAATTCATCCACTAACCTTTGCAATTTTTCTTTAGAATCTCCCATAAGCACAGTATTATCAGCAAAAAGTAACTGTGTCACTTCCCATTTTGTATTTAATTCCCCATAATTTAATCCCACCCCATCATAAGTCAAGGAGCACCTGCACTTTGCATTTAGCATGTGTAATATAACTGCAGTGGTGGTGATGTGCGCAGTATATGTGGCGCACCAACCACTGAGGGTACAACCACTGTGAAGAAATTGCAAGATGTTCCCTCATCTGTTATTTCAGAATAAATAATTTATTAAAAGGTTAGTGAACCCTTAACAAGCAATGATAAATATGGATGTGTGTGTCTGTAGCCAGATATGTCTGAATTATGCCTGTACATCCAGTGATGATCAGTGAGGCATTGTGAATGAAGCCCTTGGGCAGATGTACACTCAGTATTACCCTGAATATACTTGTAATTGCTTTAATGTTGATTTTCATAAGAAAGGTAAATTTAAGAAAGCGTATCTCTCTAATCACATTTATACTGACACAGGAAAAAATGCTGTAAATGAAGAGTTTTAAGCTTGAGGTATTCATTTAGTATATATTTTTTTTAAATATTCTGTATTTGGTTTAATTTTGAGTGCTGCAAATGATACACAACTCCTAAATTTAAAATTAAAAATAATTTTTTTGGGAAGATATGCTCAGTGCATTTTCTAGGTTCAAAATTTTATTATTTAGAAATTCTTATGAAGGCTAATACTAGCAAAATTAGAGTAATATTCAAAGAAATGCAAATTTTATCCTCTTTCTGGGCTAGTGTCACAGTGTTTCTTTTATTATGTAATCCTTTTGCTCTTGACTGTTATTCTATGACATGTATATTGTAATCAACTTAACCAGTTGTAATAATAATATATGGTATCAGTCCTTCAGCCATAACAATCCACTGCTGGATGAGGCCTCCGATAAGTTAATCCATTAGCAGAGAAACCAACAGAATTGCTTTATTAGGGCGAGGCTGTGCCAAAGTGATCGCCTCTCCAGGCAGTTAAATAAGACTTTTATGTTGGTTATACAGAGGGTTTAGAAAAACATGTAAGCAAACACTAGGACATTTTTATTAGAAAACGTGTTGGTCCTGGTACCTTGATCACTTTAAGGTCCCAGGACTGAAATGTTTTCTAATAAATATCTCCTAGTGTTTGCTTACGTATCTTTCTGAACTAATTTGTGGGTATCTAATACCAAGGTTCATACCATGGTTATACAGTACCAAACTTAATATATGACAATTTTCATCAAGTTTTTCCCTCACCAGCTTTGATGCTGGTGAGGGGCTCTTGATCCAAGGAAGTGGATCTCATCCCTTTCTAAACACCTGCGCTGAGGAAAGGAACCTTATGGTGACATTTTGGTCCGTCCTGTACCATTGTCAAGACACAGCCAAAGTAATAGTAATAGCAATAGCTTCTTTCCTCAGTGCGACTTTTTTTGGTGAGCTTTTCCAGCCATGGTATTGTGACTTTTTATTCTTTCTATCCTCTCATTCTGTGAATCAAGCCTGAATGCCTCCTATACACTGTATGACCCCAGTGGGTTTAGCAGTTCCTCCTGATCAGTAATCTTATCAAGTGTTTTGTACACTGGCACTAGTTAAATATTTATAGTGGTCAGATATTTAATTGTTTTAATTGAAACAAGTGTGTAACTCTAACTGTCTGGGTGTTGCTTTAATTGATGCAGCTCTGGTTTAAATTCAGTCTGGGACCATTCAATGCTAAATTGCTGTGTTTTCATTAAGATAATGACCTGGATTTAATCAAGTCTTGGGGATGACGGTGATAAGGGTGCTCTTGCTGCACTGTTATTCATTTAACTATTCAAAACATCACCTGCCAGCAGGCTGGCCATTGTAAAGTTTTGTTTAGTTTAATATCTTAATTATACACCCCATACCTTTCCTGTGGGTGCCCGTCTCTCCCATTCATCTCACACATGGAGCGTTAAATAACTATTAAGGAAACGTTTTGCCCACAAGGCACTTTATTAGTCCAGTCATTGGATTTATAAATCGTCTGGTTGGTAAAACCTTACAAAGATACATGTGTCTTTTATACATTGCTCAGAGGAAGCCTCAGCTTCATTGTTGCTATGTGAAGGAATTCAAGGACAAGCTATCCTTCCCTTGTATCAAATCTGATTACCTCCCATTCCCCAGGGATTGTATGACCCTTATGGAGTGTGAACTACCCTTTGAGTATAATAATGCCACCTGTCCTAGAGTAGTAATGTTATGTCACAGTAAGAATGAGTTCTTTCTCTCCTCCAATATGGGTAAAAAATGTTTTGTGAATCAAGATGGTACACCATCTTACCTCACTACACATTTGGGACTTCACTGAAACTCTGCTGACTTTCCTTAATTTCACCTTACTGAACTTTTATCTTATTTGATAAATTAGACACATGCAACACTTAGGTATCTTTATTGAGGAAATGTTTCACTACACGGTGGCTTCATCAGTTCATCAGTTCTTCACCATTCTCCTTTGTATGGAGTGATGAAACCACTGTGGTGAAATGTTTCCTCAATCAAGATACCTCAGTGTTGCATATGTATGTAATTTATCAACTCCATTTATCTACACCTTATCATTTACATAGGTTCTTTCTTGTCTTGTGATTCCTGTCACATTTTAAATATTTGCTCTAATGGATTGTAGATTTGTACGAAAACATTTTTAATGTTTTATTGAGATTTCATCAGATACTGTAGCTGCATTATTGTGTTTTATTTAATTAATGGATTTATAAAGTTACATGTGATCAAACCTATTTGAATTTTGTTTAAAATTGTTTTTATTTCTTATTATGAGGTTACTAAATTGAAGGTGTTTGTGACAGCCGCCCATCATACAAAATTATTCAACAAATATATGCAGTATAGATAATATATTGAAGCTTATCTTAAACATCTTATTCAAACTAGGAATAATCACTAGATGAAATATTGTTTCATTTGTCATTACTCATTCAATATAAGAGTGGCATTGTAGGTCATGTGTATTATTTTTTGTAATTAGTTTGCATAACAATGTCATTATAATTGGCCATATTTTATGTAATGGATGAATTAGAAATTATACTGTAAATATTTATGTAAAAAATTGTACATACCAGTAGGAGCAATGTTGATATTTGTAATAAAAATAATGAGCCTTAATGTTTTATTCAACTATGTTGAGTCATCCTAGTGTTCTTGTAGATGAGTCATCCTAGTGTTCTTGTAGATGAGTCATCCTAGTGTTCTTGTAGATGAGTCATCCTAGTGGCCTTGTAGATGAGTCATCCTAGTGTTCTTGTAGATGAGTCATCCTAGTGTTCTTGTAGATGAGTCATCCTAGTGTTCTTGTAGATGAGTCATCCTAGTGTTCTTGTAGATGAGTCATCCTAGTGTTCCTGTAGATGAGTCATCCTAGTGGCCTTGTAGATGAGTCATCCTAGTGTTCTTGTAGATGAGTCATCCTAGTGTTCTTGTAGATGAGTCATCCTAGTGTTCCTGTAGATGAGTCATCCTAGTGGCCCTTTTAGAGAGTCATCCTAGTGTTCTTGTAGATGAGTCATCCTAGTGTTCTTGTGATGAGTCATCCCAGTGTTCTTGTAGATGAGTCATCCTAGTGTTCTTGTAGATGAGTCATCTAGTGTTCTTGTAGATGAGTCATCCTAGTGTTCTTGTAGATGAGTCATCCTAGTGGCCTTGTAGATGAGTCATCCTAGTGTTTTTTGTAGATGAGTCATCCTAGTGTTTTTGAGTGAGTCATCCTAGTGTTCCTGTAGATGAGTCATCCTAGTGGCCTTGTAGATGAGTCATCCTAGTGTTCTTGTAGATGAGTCATCCTAGTGTTCTTGTAGATGAGTCATCCTAGTGTTCTTGTAGATGAGTCATCCTAGTGTTCTTGTAGATGAGTCATCCTAGTGGCCTTGTAGATGAGTCATCTGTGTTCTTGTAGATGAGTCATCCTAGTGTTCTTGTAGATGAGTATCCTAGTGTTCTTGTAGATGAGTCATCCTAGTGTTCTTGTAGATGAGTCATCCTAGGGGGCCTTGTAGATGAGTCATCCCAGTGTTCTTGTAGATGGTCATCCTAGTGTTCCTGTAGATGAGTCATCCCAGTGGCCTTGTAGATGAGTCATCCTGTGGCCTTGTAGATGAGTCATCCTAGTGTTCTTGTAGATGAGTCATCCCAGTGTTCTTGTAGATGAGTATCCCAGTGTTTTGTAGATGAGTCATCCTAGTGTTCTTGTAGATGAGTCATCCTAGTGGCCTTGTAGATGAGTCATCCTAGTGGCCTTGTAGATGAGTCATCTTAGTGTTCTTGTAGATGAGTCATCCTGTGTTCTTGTAGATGAGTCATCCTAGTGTTCTTGTAGATGAGTCATCCTAGTGTTCTTGTAGATGAGTCATCCCAGTGTTTTTTGTAGATGAGTATCCTTTGTGTTTTGTAGGTGAGTCATCCTAGTGGCTTGTAGATGAGTCATCCCAGTGTTCTGTAGATGAGTATCCTAGTGTTCTTGTAGATGAGTCATCCTAGTGTTCTTGTAGATGAGTCATCCCAGTGTTCTTGTAGAGGGGTCATCTAGTGGCCTTGTAGATGAGTCATCCTAGTGTTCTTGTAGATGAGTCATCCTAGTGTTCTTGTAGGGTGAGTCATCCTAGTGGCCTTGTAGATGAGTCATCCTAGTGGCCTTGTAGATGAGTCATCCTAGTGTTCTTGTAGATGAGTTCATCCTAGTGTTCTTGTAGATGGTCATCTAGTGTTCTTGTAGATGAGTCATCCTAGTGTTCTTTTAGATGAGTCATCCCAGTGTTCCGTAGATGAGTCTCCTAGTGGCCTTGTAGATGAGTCATCCTAGTGGCCTTGTAGATGAGTCATCCTAGTGTTCTTGTAGATGAGTCATCCTAGTGTTCCCGTTTTGATGAGTCATCCCAGTGTTCTTGTAGATGAGTCATCCTAGTGTTCTTGTAGATGAGCATCTAGTGTTCTTGTAGATGAGTCATCCTAGTGGCCTTGTGGTGAGTCATCTAGTGGCCTTGTAGATGAGTCATCCTAGTGTTCTTGTAGATGAGTCATCTAGTGGCCTTGTAGATGAGTCATCCCAGTGTTCTTGTAGATGAGTCATCCTAGTGTTTTGTAGATGGGGTCATCCTAGTGTTCTTGTAGATGAGTCACCTGTGTTCTTGTAGATGAGTCATCCTAGTGTTCTTGTAAAATGAGTCATCCCAGTGGTCTTGTAGTGAGTCATCCTGTGTTCTTGTAGATGAGTCATCCTGTTGTTGTCGATGATCATCCTAGGTTCTTGTGATGAGTCATCCTAGTGGCCTTGTAGATGAGTCATCCTAGTGTTCTTGTAGATGAGTCATCCTAGTGTTCTTGTAGATGAGTCATCCTAGTGTTCTTGTAGATGAGTCATCCTAGTGTTCTTGTAGATGAGTCATCCTAGTGTTCTTGTAGATGAGTCATCCTAGTGTTCTTGTAGATGAGTCATTCCTAGTGTTTCTTGTAGATGAGTCATCCTAGTGTTCTTGTAGATGAGTCATCCTAGTGGCCCTTTTAGATGAGTCATCCCAGTGTTCCTGTAGATGAGTCATCCTAGTGTTCTTGTAGATGAGTCATCCTAGTGTTCTTGTTGATGAGTCTCCTAGGTTCTTGTAGATGGAGTCATTTCCCAGTGTTCCCGTAGATGAGTCATCCTAGTGGCCTTGTAGATGAGTCATCCTAGTGTTCTTGTAGATGAGTCATCCTAGTTTTACTTGTAGATGAGTCATCCTAGTGTTCTTGTAGATGAGTCATCCCAGTGTTCTTGTAGATGAGTCATCCTAGTGTTCTTGTAGATGAGTCATCCTAGTGTTCCTGTAGATGAGTCATCCTAGTGTTCTTGTAGATGAGTCATTTCCTAGTGTTCTTGTAGATGAGTCATCCTAGTGGCCTTGTAGATTTAGTCATAGTGTTCTTGTAGATGAGTCATCTTGTGTTCTTGTAGATGAGTCATCCTAGTTTCCTGTAGATGAGTCATTTCCCAGTGTTCCGTAGATGAGGGCATCCTAGTGGCCTTGTAGATGAGTCATCCCAGTGTTCTTTGTAGATGAGTCATCCCAGTGTTCCTGTAGATGAGTCATCCCAGTGTTCCTTTTGATGAGTCATCCTAGTGTTCTTGTAGATGAGTCATCTAGTGGCCTTGTAGGTGAGTCATCCTAGTGGCTTGTTTGATGAGTCATCCTAGTGTTCTTGTAGATGGTCATCTTAGTGGCCTTGTAGATGAGTCATCCTAGTGTTCTTGTAGATGAGTCATCCTAGTGTTCTTTAGATGAGTCATCCTAGTGTTCTTGTTTGATGAGTCACCCTAGTGTTCTTGTAGATGAGTCATCTAGTGTTTTGTAGATGAGTCATCCTTTGTGTTTTTGTAGATGAGTCATCTAGTGGCCTTGTAGATGAGTCATCCCAGTGGCCTTGTAGATGGTCATCCTAGTGTTCTTGTAGATGAGTCATCCTAGTGTTCTTGTAGATGGAGTCATCCTAGTGTTCTTGTAGATGAGTCATCCTAGTGTTCTTGTAGATGAGTCATCCTAGTGTTCTTGTAGATGAGTCATCCTAGTGGCCTTGTAGATGAGTCATCCTAGTGGCCTTGTTGATGAGTCATCCTAGTGTTCTTGTAGATGAGTCATCCTAGTGTTCTTGTAGATGAGTCATCCTAGTGTTCTTGTAGGGTGAGTATCCCAGTGTTCTTGTAGATGAGTCATCCTAGTGTTCTTGTAGATGAGTCATCCTAGTGTTCTTGTAGATGAGTCATCCTAGTGTTCTTGTAGATGAGTCATCCTAGTGTTCTTGTTTGATGAGTCATCCTAGTGTTCTTGTAGATGAGTCATCCCAGTGGCCTTGTAGGTGAGTCATCCTAGTGTTCCCGTTAGATGAGTCATCCTAGTGTTCTTGTAGATGAGTCATCCTAGTGGCCTTGTAGATGAGTCATCCTAGTGTTTTTGTAGATGAGTCATCCTAGTGGCCTTGTAGGTGAGTCATCCTAGTGTTCTTGTAGATGAGTCATCCTAGTGTTCTTGTAGATGAGTCATCCTAGTGGCCTTGTAGATGAGTCCCTCCTAGTGTTCTTGTAGATGAGTCTCCTAGTGTTCTTGTAGATGAGTCATCCCAGTGTTCTTGTAGATGAGTATCCTAGTGGCCTTGTAGATGAGTCATCCCAGTGTTCTTGTAGATGAGTCATCCCAGTGTTCTTGTAGATGAGTTTATACTAGTGTTCTTGTAGATGAGTCATCCTAGTGTTCTTGTAGATGAGTCATCCCAGTGTTCTTGTAGATGAGTCATCCTAGTGGCCTTGTAGATGGGGTCATCCTAGTGTTCTTGTAGATGAGTCATCCTAGTGTTCTTGTAGATGAGTCTCCCAGTGTTCTTGTAGATGAGTCATCCTAGTGTTCTTGTAGATGAGTCATCCTAGTGTTTTTGTGATGAGTCATCCTAGTGTTCTTGTAGATTGAGTCATCTAGTGTTCTTGTAGATGAGTCATCCTAGTGGCCTTGTAGATGAGTCATTTCCCAGTGTTCTTGTAGATGAGTATCCTAGTGTTCTTGTAGATGACTCATCCTAGTGTTCTTGTAGATGAGTCATCCTAGTGTTCTTGTAGATGAGTCATCCTAGTGTTCTTGTAGATGAGTCATCCTAGTGGCCTTGTAGATGAGTCATCCTAGTGTTCTTGTAGATGAGTCATCCTAGTGTTCTTGTAGATGAGTCATCTGTGGCCTTGTAGATGAGTCATCCTAGTGTTCTTGTAGATGAGTCATCCTAGTGTTCTTGTAGATGAGTCACCTAGTGTTCTTGTAGATGAGTCATCCTAGTGTTCTTGTTGATGAGTCATCTAGTGTTCTTGTAGATGAGTCATCCTAGTGTTCTTGTAGATGAGTCATCCTAGTGGCCTTGTAGATGAGTCATCCTAGTGTTCTTGTAGATGAGTCATCCTAGTGTTCTTGTAGATGAGTCATCCTAGTGTTCTTGTAGATGAGTCATCCTAGTGGCCTTGTAGATGAGTCATCCTAGTGTTCTTGTAGATGAGTCATCCTAGTGTTCTTGTAGATGAGTCATCCTAGTGTTCTTGTAGATGAGTCATCTAGTGGGCCCTTTTGTGAGTCATCCTAGTGTTCTTGTAGAT